GAGGGGGGGGGGAGAGGAGGAAAGCGGCTTTCACAAACCGAACTCGCGTACTTCCGCGTGTATACACGAGCGCGTGGGTGGTATGTAGGCCATCGTCTGAAAAGTTTATGCGATAACCTCCGTGCTGCGCCCGACACTGACGAGGAATCGCCCGCGTGGACTTTCCGCGTGTACGGCTGCCACGCGTTTTAAACAAATTCGCGATATCAAAACACGCCTGTCAACGGTCGAACGAATTGTAAAACGCGGCCGTCGCACGGCACTGATATGATTTCGTTATGTAGGTAGCTGTTCGCTTTTCCTTGTTTAAAGAACGTCCCATTGAATGACGAGTAATATGGAAGCGTACGTTCTTTTTCCGGCTTGATATTTTTTCAACGAAGATTACTTGGGATTTTGAGTTTCGACCAAAGCGCTATGTATATTTGCAGCTTATGCATTTAAAAGCTATTTCCTTCTTTTTTTGTTTGTTTGTCATACGGTAGTCGTGGGATTTGGAGTTTTTGGGGTTGGAGGTTTTTATTCAGCCAGACAGATGCGCGCAAAAAAAATTTTTTTAACTTTTGAAGATGAATGAATTTTTATTCACAAAGATTATTTATTAGCTTGCGAAAAAGGCCACTTACTTGTCTCTTCGTGTATGAGTTTATGCACGGTAAAGTTACTTTTTAATTTACGTAAACGAGTCGCGGGATCTTTACCTTTTTGTTGGAAGTTTATTCACTGAGAGAGATCATCCATTGGGATTTATCTAATGCAAAATAATTTTGGGACATTTACAGAATTAAGTTTTTTTATCCTCTTTTCTCACAAAATCCATTACCAGCTTTTCTACTTAGTATTTTCAATACAACTGATGCGTTAAATCGATGGATGTAATACTCTCGAAAAATATTATTTCGTGTTACAAATATTCCCTTAAATGAACGCCATTTTTACGACAAATTTTGTCACAGAAAAACGAATGAATTATTTCAGCCTGTTTATCAATCAAGTACACTATTAATTCATGCAGAAATAATAATAAATAAGTGGAAGGATAATTTCATTTAATTCTACGGTACTCACAGGCGCTTTAAATTCATCATGTTGCTAAAGAGAAGATCGGGGATGTGACGTATTTGATTATTGTTCAGACGTAGCTTCTCGACACCGACTAAATCCTGGAAGGCACCTCTTTCTATGGTGTGAATTTGATTATTCGATAGGCAACTGCAAAAGACGCATTGAACACCGAATTTGTTATATCAGTTAACTAAAGATTTTGTTCGTAACTAAACTAAAGGTTTTGTTTTTAACTAAAGAGTTTGTCATTATAGTATATCGTTACAAAATCGCATCTTTTTTTCTCTCTAGTACAGGATTTTCATTCTTCTTCGTGTACGTATATGTACAAACGCATCCTTAGAATTCAGCGAAAAATGGATTGTTGAGAAACGGATGTTTCATATATTATAAGATAATATCGTGCATGTGATGCGCGTGCAAACGTCTTAACTATTTCTGCATTATGAACACGAACAAATCTGTCGACCCAGTTAGCGTTAATTACTTTCGTTTCACGCCGATCTCATCTTGAAATTTCGTTCTTCGCGTTTCGAAACGTGCAAGAAACTTTACGCCCTTCGGAGGAAAGTCACGGAGCTGAAAACAGTCGAGAAAAGAATACAATCTCTATGCATAGAGCGAGTTTCACACAGAATTCGAGCAACTTTGCCTTCTTGTTGCAACAATGGCGTCCACGCGGACGACGTTTGCGACAAATTTACCGGAATTTCGCCAACTTTTCGCTCCCCTAAGAGTCGCTTCAACGGGCTTCAGCTCGTGGCTCTATTCAATTCTATTTGCAGCACACGACCAAAGCTATCCGTCCCTTGCCTTTTGTTAGTGACGGGATCAAGCGCATTGTAACCAGGTTCGAAGGTATAACATTGAAAATTTTCTTCAAAACTACGAGAAAAAGAGAACATTGTAGGAAGATGCGAATTTAGACTAGACACGGCGAGAAACAAAAATATTCGTACAATTGGGATGTACAAACAGTAAGAGTGATATTTTTTATATTGTACTACTGTATGTGTATTATACAAATACATATGCAGATATAAATGTTCCCTTGTATATTGAGTAATTAAATGGCAAACTTGTATGCATCTTTGAAAAATTTTCTTGCTAAATATTATAACGAGTTACACTTTGGATAATTTAGATACTTTTTTGTATTACATACATTCTGTGCATTTGGCAAAACAATGTTCTGTTTGGGCTTCGTTGCTTTCATAAATATACAGGGTGGTTGGTAACTGATGGTACAAGCGGAAAGGGGGTGATTCTACGCGGAAAAAGAAGTCGAAAATATAGAATAAAAATTTTTCGTTTGAGGCTTTGTTTTCGAGAAAATTGACTTTGAATTTTCGCTCGGTACGCGTGCGGTACGTTATAACGGATCTCACTGTAGATCGTTGTCTCGATGGAAAAATTAAAGAAAAAAAAAATAAAAAAAAGAATTTTTATTCTATATTTTCGACTTCTTTTTTCGCATAGAATCACCCCCTTTCCGCCTGTACCACCAGTTACCAACCACCCTGTATAATTACATAAATATTCAAAGTCTACTAATAATATAAAAGAACATCGCTCTTTTTCTTCTACATTCCAACTGTATGAAGATTGTCGTCTTGTACTGTAAGTGGAATTAATTTTTTATAAACACTTTGAGAAACGTAACAAAGCCGAAAGACTAATTGCTAAATTGTAAGAAGACAAGTATAACAATTTTCTACACTTTCTAATAATTGATCATTTTCTATATTTTTCGAGAATTCATACTTCTCTAAACGTTCTTAGAGTTAATAATTTTCCATATCAAACTAGTTCAAACAATTTCCAACCAATTCCCTGAAGAATGTACTTCTCTTCGTTGTATCACTTTCCTACCAAAACAACGATACTCGAACTTGATCCCATCGCTATCTAGCGTCGCAATTCAACTAGTATACGACGCGCTTCGTTATTTAACGAACAGATACTCACAGAACGTGAAGCGTGGCCATGTCCTCAAAGTCCGTCTTGAATATCACCGAGATATTGTTCCCTTGGAGGTCCCTGGAACACAGAGTAACGCAGCGTTGAATTAATCTCGCAGTGACACAGTGGAACGAGTCAATAATACGTCCGTCGTTTGGTCGCCGGGCAAAAATTTCATTTTCCTTCCTTTCAAAAAATCTCATAAAAATCTCGCTATCTCGAGATACGCACGTTGTTCCTCCTTTTACACGAGAACAAGAGATGAGAGAACCACTCGACAGTGGTGCTTAACTAATTCCATTTCAACTTTCACCCTCTACTTTGTATCGTTCGTAAGCAACCCCTCAGCCCTCTGAAACCTCCCTCCTGTGTTCATCGTATTTATTTGTCGCGAATAAGTATTTCTGTTTCCCTGGTTGGTGCAAATATTTGTCTCGTCGCGAAAGGGAGCGCCAGTACAAAGAGCAAACTTCGGAGAAATTTTATCGCCAGCCCTTTTTCCCTCGTTTTAAAACGTTGTCGTTTACGCGCCGCTCAAAGCAACCTCCCGCTACGACGAGACCACCCTGCTGATCGTGAAAACCGGCCTACTGGACCGTAAATCCTGATTTTGTTCGATACTTTGTCACGTTATTTTTGCCTTGATTTACATTGCGCAATATGACGTGAATGTAACAATTAAACTACGGATTTTTATGTATTTACGACAAATTTAATTCTGCTACGATCCTCGAATTTTTATATGTCGATCTTGCTTTTGTTTCAGCTATTGGAATATATGTGATTTTGTGAGCTACACCGGATCAGCCGCGCAGTAGTGATATACATATATGTGTGTGAGTATATGTACGTGCGCAGCGTCTCATAGAACAAAAGAATGTCACTGATCCGTGCGCATGGTAAAAGTGAGACTAAATGAGTACTGAAACACGTGTAATGAGTATCTATGAACATCTCGTAAATCGCATATTGAATAAATACAAAACTATTTTATTATCATCTCTACATGTGATGAAAGTGTTCCTACATATTTATTTCGGCGATTACGATCCATAATTCTCAACATCAGCAAAGAAAACGGATCTGTAACTTTTGAAGATGTTAACACTTTGACTGCCACGTTGGTCATACATGGCTGGTCACGGTTTCTCGTGTGACATCACGGTGGTCATTGGTGACCGAAGCGCTTGAACTTCTTACAATTGTAAAAATAGAATGAAAATTGACAGTTAGGACATTTTGAATATAACCGATAAGTAGAAGATACTTTGAAATAAAAAGTGGCCCATTGAACAATTAAACATTTTTATTAGAACATCAATAAAGAAAAAATGAGAAGAAATCTTGCATTTAACGGTGCACTGTATTAAAACACTGTGGCATCCTGAGCGAAACATGCAATTTCGGTGTGGTAGTCGAAGTGTTAAGATCAAAACGAGAAACAATGGTGAACGACAAGAACATTTCTCTACATTTTCCCAAAATTAAAATGTTTCTCGACGTTCCAGAGATTCGATTGGTTCAAATGTCTCTTTATTTTACTTTAACTTACTTATTGCTAATAAATTTCCCAATATTTCTAAACGCTCGCACAAACCAGTCGAGCCAAATATCATTCGTTCGAACGGTGTGGTAAACAGAAAGCGTGAATTTGCTTTTCTCGCGAAAGGAGAGCAGAGACCAAGAGGGTTAACCGTCAAACACAGCCGTCTGCTCTCCCTTGCTGGCAAATTATTAAGACCTTATTAAATTGGTTCCTTTTCCCGTGGAAATTTTTTACCTGACAAAAAACGCCAGACATAGGAACGAGTAACGAGTCAGGCCTACTCAACGACCTCCTCTATTTCTTCATCCTCTTTCTTTTTCTTATTCTTTCTTTTTCTCTCTTCCTGATTCCGTGGTCTTCTTGTTGAAACGTTGACGACAACGACACGGTGGAACGCAAATTATTTCCTCGTTTTCGTAGCCAGACACGCCGGTTCAACGACGAAACGAGAAGCGAAGGACTGTTTTTAGCGGCTCTTTTAAGTCTTGCGTGAGATTTTAATTTCAACCGTGGCGGCCATGGCCTTTTTTCGGATCCGACCGGTTGCTTTCCTTCTCGTCGTTTTTCCATTCTCGCCTGCCTGGATATTGTCGTCGCGCCGCCCCGGAATAATTGCCGTGAGAGACCCGCGCACAGGTGAATGTCGAGCCAAAGCAGCGGAACGCGCTGCGAGAACCAGTCGTTTGATATATTTCCGGTTCGATTTCAACCATCGAAAGGCTCCGGAGAGAGGATAATTGTAAACCATTGACTCACCGCGGTATCCTTTTGTCGTCTTTAATTCGCTTGAAACACACAATTGGAATTTAATCAACTTCCTAATGTCGCGCAGAGATACTGTAGGATTTTTTTTATTTATTTAGAATAGATTAAACAGGAAACGATGGTTATTTAATGTGAATTAAATACAGTAATGTGCTATAACTAAGACAACCGAGTAGTTATGAAGCGTATGTGTTGTCCGTGATAATTGTAGCGCTGGGTGTAGATGTCGCTGATGGGGTACTGCTATTTTTCTTCCAATTTTAGATGCGTGGAAGAAAAATCGGACTTCGGTCGCCGGGATACGAACCCGGGTCCCGAACGCTCGTAACCTAAGGCGCTAACCACTGCCGTCGTCCGATACTAGTTAGTGTCGAGTGGTGGTATTTGCTGTTGAGTGCCGCCACAGTTAATTTGACTCTCTTTCACGCGGACCATCCTCGACAACGCTGACAGCACTCTCTCTGACGACGCTGACAACACTCTGATTTTTCAACTAACTACTGCCTGTTAATTCGTCTTTCTCCCTTCCTTTGTCTTTTCTCATAGCCCTACCACGTGCATGTTCCGCAACCGTCCGCGTTCATGGTCACTTTTTTCCGCGTAACTATTCGACTGAAACACCGACGACATATTGATGGGTTGTTCGGTCCATTGAAGTGTCCAAATCCTTTTGGCCTGTCGGGACTTAGGTTTTCTCGCAACATTGTTTATGGTTCACCCGATATTTCTTAGACAATTTGTCCACGATAGTACAATACTATAGAGTTTGATCTTCTTATGTATCAAAGTCAGAGTGCTGCACGATGTGTATAATACGTAAATGAGTTTATAATTTTATCACAGCTATTAAACTGATAAATTGTGTTTGATGTATCTGTTTAGAGAATCATATTTAAATTGAATGATATATTATGAAATATAAAATTCTTAATGACACTAAACTTGATAGAATTTAGAAACTAATATTTTTAAATAATATTAAATTCTAAAATTATAAATCTAGTATATATAATATAATATTAATGATAACACCATAACTATGATAAATCATAATAATGATTTAAAGTATTCTTTACTTTTAAATAATAAGTAATCCTCGAGTAATCCTCTGCTAAATTAATAATATAATTTGTCAATTTATAATTCTACTAATTCTTAAATTTACCTGGAACATAGCTTCTATAATACGTAAATTATAGCGCTTTCTTCGCATATAAAATAGATTTATCATCGTATTACACTGAAACGGAATAATATATGCAGGAAATATGAGGCAATGTATAATATACGTTGTTACAAGACGATGTTATTTCGTCTAATTACAAATTTCGATAGTAATCGCGATATTTCACGTGAAAATATAATTTCTCTGCACTGGAACGCGACAATTTACTGGTTGTTTTGAAAGCAGAAAGGTTGAGGATTGTTTGCAATGGATGATAAATCTGGACAAATCGGGTTGTATTTTTGGATTTCCATCACTCGTGTTAGTATCCGATTTATTACAGAGATCGTTCAACGTGTTTGTCCAATCGTAATTCGAGCGAAATCGATAAACTTGTAAGCTGTCGGGGTATTTGGGTTACAAGGGAAAACAAGCTTTTTCAAATCGATGATTTAAACCGATGGAAATTTAAGATTCTTAACATAGAATTACGAAGCAAATAATAAACCGAAACGATAAACAAACGACAATGGAAGATAAAAATACAAGTAATTAATAAAACACGTAGAAACATTGATTGTAGGAAGAGATGGCAATTATTTCTCAAACTATCGGTTGTAGAATGATAAGTAGAACTCGCGTAATTATAGATTCAATCCTTCCAATTCTTAAATCTTTAAATTTCTAATTTCAAATTCTTAATTTTATAAAATTCCACATTTTCGAGCTTTGTACCCTGAAAGATTTAAACTTTCCAAATTTTACTTCCTATTATTATATATTTACTTATTTCCACAGTTATTCCTGAAGATACTTACGATATACAATTATACGTTTTAAAAATGATGATAATTCATTACGGAAAATAATTCGCTGCATCTCTTCCGTAATTATTTTACATAAAATAACAGTAAATTAATAACAAACAGGTGTTACGTTTAGAAAATCAAGCGCGTAGAAAAATAGAGAACACAAAGTCGAGTAATTAAGGCATAAGGATAAATAAAATTCCGACAGCGAGACTAAGAAGGAAAACACAGCGATAGCAATAAAGAGTGACTGACGTAAAAACAAGCGAGTGGAAACAAAGTGGATTTTGAGCGAAGATATCTTTTAATCGGGAGATCAAACCACGAATAGTTTGGTATAGCGTTCGTAACCATGGCATCTCGTTGACGATGGTCAGAAACAGTTTAGCGAAAGAGCAAAATAGAAAGGAAAAGACGGGAGAAGAAGAGAAATAGAGAAAGAGAGTATCGAACAGCATGTAGAGAGTAGAAAGAGAGAGAGAAAGAGAGAGAGAGAGAGAGAGAGAGAGAGAGACAGAAAGTATTTAAAATGCAACCCCGGAGCATTTCATCGATGGAGAAGAGTACGACAGCAGAGATAGGCGGCAATCCTCTTGATAATCGTTAAATGAAAAAAGCGTGTTGACGGTGGGTAAACAGCAGCGCGAAAAAATCTGTCGAAGCGGGATCGGTACGTGACATCGATAAACACTTGTTTTTCGCGTCCACCTACGCGTGTGACTTTTCGCTTGTGAAGAGAGCTCATACTAGTGAAAATCGGCCGTCGAAAAAGGGCAGCGCAAACTTTTCCCTG